ACGACTTGGCAGCTGTGGTCTCTATTGCAGCTGCTCTTCTCTACAGCCCAAGCTGGGAAGCAGCCACAAGTAGCATGCAAATAATATGCACACATGTGGCTGTGTTCCAAGAAAACTTATTTACAAAGCAGAAGACCAGCTCAGGGACCTTCACTTGCCAACCTCACACTGGGCCCTGAAGTCTTCAGCAGACTTTAGGTAGAAGCTTTTCCCCATCCTTGCCTCCCCAATGCCTAAGATACCTCCTGGCAGAAAGGGGGCTCCATAAATATCTGATGAATAAAAAATTATGAAGAAATAACTAGGCAAACTGATGATTCTGAGAGACGCCAGGTGAGGCCGACACGCCAAAGTCAGAGCACACGTCCCCTCCAAATAAAGAGGTGGGTCAGCTGCAGAACAACCCATGCTTGGCTCATTCATGGAGCTGGGGAGCAGAGAAGGCTTTATATGTTTGTAACTAAATCAAGAGCTTTGCTCCTAGGCTTATCTGTTCCCCAGTTTGACGCGGGAAGAAAGTGCAGAGATTAAGGACACTTTTTTTACAATAGCAAAAGGAACACAGAGGTTAGAAGAAGTCTTTCTCAAAAGAGCACCTGCAGGCCACCTTTTTGCGAGGGACACACGCTTCTGAGCTACTGTCCTGTCCACTGACTCAGCAGAGTGAGGAGTAGAGGGTAGAGGAGGAAATTCTGAATGACGGTCCCAGTTCGTCATTGTTAGAGCTACGAGAGAAAAGGTAACAGCAAAAAGTGGGCTTTTCACACAGATGAGGTTTATTACTGGAGAGGCCTCCTGGAAGAAAGGAGAGAGTAGGTAGAGAGAGGACCATAGGCCGAGACAACCTTAAAACACACAGCTAGGAACCTGCACCAGCTCGGGAAGAAAAAAGCATGGAGAAGAGAAAATATTTAAATTCCGAAGTCTAAGTTCTTAACGCGCAGGGTTGGGGGGAGGCAACAATGAAAACAAGGAACACACCAAGGAAAAGAGCCACCTTCTTCCAGGCACATGCTGCATTTCCTAAGCCACAACCAAACTCAACACACCCTGAACATCATCATTACCAGGGATTTCTGTGCACGATGGGGGGCCGCTGGTTTCTTGGATGCCACTCAGCATCAGTTACCCTTAATTGCATAAACTACATCAAAATATATCCTTTGGAAACAGAAAGGAGTTGTGGCTCCTGGAAGCAAAATGGTTGATCTCATAATAATCCGCATTTATGCACTTAATTACATATTGCTTCCAACAGATTAATTCTAAGGTAAAACTTTAAACTAAAACTAGGAATTATCACCACCAGGAGAAAAGGAATGGTGTAGGTCAATTTTAAAGAATGGCTTTTATGGAAATGTAAAATCCAGCTTCCTTTGTTTAGAACCAGGGCAAATCATCTTGAAAGCAGGAACTCGTTCTAATTCAAGTCTGCTGCGTGTTCTTGGTGAACTTTCAAATATATGCGCAGAACACTTAGCGCAAATCCATCCCCGGCATCTTCAAAGCAATTAATCTATCCTTCTTCAGTGTTGTCGATTCAAACCACGGGCAAAACAATGGTTCAAAATAGCAGGCTCTGATGATTCCAGAGAAGTTTGTTGTGCTGGGAAGACAAAGCCTGCCTTGGAAGCACTCGGGATTTAGTATCCGCTTTTAGCATCCAACCTGCTGACCGCATGTCTACACCACAGGTCATGCAGACGTGCGTGCAGGGAAATACCTCGCCGCACATGGACACATCCACGGACAGGAAGTCAGCCAAGGGGTTCATGAGCTGCGGCTTCGGGCTCACATTTGGGTGAGATCTGCAGGGAGACTCCAGCACCCCATCACCTTTCTTCTGGATAGTTCTTCCTGTTCTCACTTTGTGATGTAATTTTAATAGAACTAAAATGAAAAAGCTTCAAGGACATAAATGTTTATATTTGTCTTCAGCATCTGCTGCTACCACACTCTGTGCTGGAAAACTTACACTGGTATCAACTTTGTAAACTCTTGTTACTGTCACTGCTTTTATAATGATGGCTTCAGTGCCACCACCTTCATCTCTGGCAGGCGGTTGGCACTGGCATTCACGGGTATCTGTGTAAGAGCTTGTGTAAGGTGTGTGTTCTTCCAGACTATCTCCACTTGCAAGACCACACCCTTCATTGAGATGTTTCTAGCACACTGAAGGTTTTTAGAGAAGAATATGGTAGCCGGAAATCAGGGTACATGAAGAAAAGAGGTGTAAGGCAAAGAAGCAAACAGAAACTGGCAAATTCTTTTTTCATTCCTACTGGGTGACTTTATGACACTTCAAAAAAATAAAAATAATTCCTAGGCACCGTGATTGTCAAATGCCGTGTTGTGTGCGAACTGAGTTGCCTGCCATTTGGAATAAAATTTGAATTCAGCACAGAATACAGATCAGAGAGATTCGATGGAAGCACTTGTCATCCTTACAGTGAACCTGAAACTCTAACGACTAACCGATTCATTTGGAGAATAAAAATGTAATCACCCTCTCTCACATCTGCTCTTAAGAGTCTATCTGCGGTGAAACGTCTGCTTGTATCAACTTTGTGCACTATTATTACTATCATTACTTTTACAATTATCTATACAAAAAGCTCCCAACCATAACATATTCTTTCATGTTGGAATTCTTCCTTTTTTCAATATCCCGAAAACTGCTTGAAGTAGGTTTTGTGACAAAGACACTTACAGGCCGTTCATAAAATATTATTCCAAGAGCACAAGCAAACAGAAGTCAGACAATACAAGGGAATAACTGAAAAGGTTAACTTTGATTATTTCTGAAATAACTGTTTTTTCTTTATGTGCTACTGTATTTGCTACATTTTCTCAAATGAAAATGCCTGAGTCTCATCGTTGAAAACAAAAACAGTATTAATTTTTAAAGAGGCTGGGGCGAAACAGGGTATGAATGTCAATGAGTCTGAAATAATATGGAAGATAATGTGCATCTTGGAAATGGTAAATTTAGGGGCCCTCTAGCAATTTCACGGATTCCGACGCAGGTGCTTCTGGCACTACATAACCCAAAATCGCCTAAAAGGAGGCTTATCTTAGACAGCACAATGAACTCCTTTTTGTGAAGAGGCAAAGAATCTGTAGCTGAACTCAATTTGAGCAACATAAAGTATCAGCGGTATAAAGTGAAACCATCCAGTAAGTGCCTTTATAATGCCTAGTGCCAACTACAAGAAGACACAAAGTGTATCATTATATTTTCCTGCTGCTCATATATTTAAACCACTACAGATTTCGGAAATAAACACCTGCTGTCTACCTTTCTTTTGCAAGTTCAACCCCTCCTAAACAGGAACCCAAGGGGTGGGTTATTTTTAAAGTTTCATAACCACCTCACACTCTCTCTCAACCTGAGTTGAGTTTCCCCGTAAAATTCCTATTCGTGCTCAGAGATGTCTGCCAGAAAGGGGTACGCACACCCAGGCCAGACCCACAGGTGTGCCAGAGCGCCCAGCTCTGCAGACTCCCTGGTGCTGGTTACTGTGACCTTCCCTCCCCCGGGGCACAGTCCAGAGCAGGAGAAATTACTGATCCATTTTAAAAGGGAAAAATTACTCTGAAACGGGCTCACATGCAACTAAGCAAGTCTGGCCACCCTCGCTCTTTCACTCACTCAGAGACTCTACTGCACCACGCACCGTAATGGAACAGGAGGCTCAGCCCATGCTCTATGGTGGCTACAGAACTCAGTCTTAACTGGGTATCCTGTATATTCACTGCTGTTTCTGGCGCTCCTAAATGCTCCTGGTGACCACGCCATAATGCCTGCGAGCTAGGCCTCATAGCTGATCCAGTTCCTCGTGGTGGGGCTGGGCTGAGACTCCAGGGACACTGGGATGAAGAACACCAGGGATGTGGGATGGAGATCTCCAGGGATTTTAGGATGGAAACCCACAGGGACAGGTGTGCCCTAGAGACGATTCCCAGGTGCTATCTCCAGCTTATATAAACCATGGACATGTCCTCCATGTCCCAGTGTTGCCCCTTAAGAGCCTGTGTCATTTGCCAAGGCTGGCAGAGCACACATGTGTGTGGTGCTGCAGCTACGCCCGTCGGCTCATGTGTGCGCCTGCTACCCCAGCAAGGGCTCTGCAGGCCACCACACAGTCTAGCACACCTGCCCCTGGCTGGGAGCGCTCCCCTCCCCGGCTGCTCCCCGGCTGCTCCCCGGCTGCAACCCTGCTGCCAGGAGCCCAAACCTACAAATGGCCTTTCTCAAATGGAAAGTCATTGTTCCAAAGAGCTGGATGCAAAGGAGTGTTTGATCCATCAACGTCAAAGTCCCCTGGCAGGATGGGTAACTGGAACACAGGGATCACGCCTGTTTTCTATGGAAGGGATGGAGAACAGGAGGGAACACTCGAGTCCCGCTCGGATTGTGTCCCCGTGGCCTCGTCAGCCAGGAAGGTCTGTGCACAGTCCAAGGGATGAAAATAATAACAGCGTCCTCGGATTCTCTAGCGACTGCTAAGCAACCCGGTCGAGGTCCCAAAGAAAGGTGCCAATGGCCCTGGGAAGGACATCATGTCTCACGAACTGGACAATTTTACTGAAAAACTGACAATGTGGACTCTGTGCTCATGCTGCCCGGGTCTCAAATCTGGGCCATCTCTTAACAGACACGTGCCTCTGGGTCCCGCCTCTCTCCACTTTCTGCCTCAGTTTCTGTTTCTAAAGTAGAGATGTGGACGGCACCCAGGCCTCCAGGTCACTGGTGGACACGCTGAGTTAACTCAGCCTGGATAGCTGCTGGCCTGTGGGAGGTGCCCACGAAAGCCTGTTGAGAGAGCGGCCGTCACCCTCCGGTTAATAGTACATTTACGACACTCACACTGTTCCCATTCTTAGAAGAAAATACAACTTAGCACTCATCAGGTATGGCAGAGACGCACCCGTGTAACTGCACAGATGCGAAATGAAGTCTGAAAACATCTGCAGTGGCAAAACATTAGATCTCTCACCTTGCTCCTACAACAAGCTCTTTCTGTCCTGGGTCAAATGTTAACTGCGAGAAATCCACAGCATCCTTCGCTCTGAACTCCCGCAACCAGGGGCCAATTTCTAAATAGGAAAGATAAATACATAAGAAGATAACAATGAATGACTTTCCCCCGGGACCACATCAGTGCACATCAGGTAGCAAACATCACATTTCAGAGAGGACTGGAAGGTCCCCATGTGGTCTTCGGGGGCCGCTGGAGGTTTCCATCAGGATGTATACGCCTGGGCAGCTGCCACAAGTGAGCAGAGCCAGCAAAGTGTCCGTGCTGGGCTGTGATTCACACGCCAGATGTGCATTTCCTCGGGGCTCTGGCTGTGCAGAAAAAAGCACCGCATTCCCATGATCCAGCAGCACAATATCAAATGCAAACAAGACCATATCCTGTGCAACTCGTCTGGAAAGTGATGGAGACTTGGGAAAATAATCCCAAAGCCCTCACAGGAGGGAGGACGAATATAGGAGCATCATTTGGCTTCTTTCAAAGTAGATGTTCCGTTTCCCAGTTCTTTGGAATGCTATTTTGACCCCGTGATTAAACTTGTTAAATACCTTCAGTTCTTTTGAGATGGAAAAATCCATTTACTTTTTGGTCTCATTATATATTTTTTTGTTCTAAAAAAATCAGGGAATAGTCGCTCTTTAGAGACAGAGTGTTTTTATGAGAAGGTTAAGGCCTGTACGTGACCCAAGGTGTTGAGGGTGATTATTGTACAGGGACAGTGTCTGTTTAGGAGCCGTCCCCGCCAGGGCTGGTCCTCCAGACGGACCGCGCCATCCCAAGGGCCTTCACAATTAACCATGTTATTGGACGATCTCCTTTTTTTGCATTTAATATTTTTATATTTATTTATTACTTAATATTTTTATTGAATATTTTCTTGCATTTAATAGCACACTAAGAAAACAGGCACACCAAAATTACTGGTTTGGGGGGAAAACGATGTGGCACAGAAATAATCTCTTCGAACAAAGACAGACCCAGGGGAGAGCTGCTGTTGAGATGTGCCCACGAGCCAAGGAACTCCCTGTAGAGACACGTTCACTGATGTGAAGGAGACTGACTGATGTGAATGAGACTGTTCTCAAGGGCTAGTGATGATATTAACGAGGCGTTTCTCTACTGTCAGTTATGGGGAGGGGGGATTGTGAGCTGAAATTTCCACGATGCTAAAGGAAACCAGGTTTGAGTTTTATAGATGTGTGTACTTGCTTTTTGAAATGTTAATATGTATGCTATCTTGATTTCTTTAGTACTTCACAGACAAGCCAAGTAAAACAAAATACTTTATAGCAAAGTGTGTGCAAGGCACTGGGGCAATAAAAAGCTATTGGTAAATGGTCCTTCCATATCTTCTCTAAGCACAGTGTAAACACGGGGTGCTTCAGGGGTCTGGGGTGCTGCAGGGGTCTGGAGAGTTGCAGGGGTCTGCACATGCATTGGCAGGAGGGATGACCAGGGGCTTGGGCAGAGGCAAGGCGTGGTCAGAGATCTGAGGCGCAGAGCAGGCGGGAGACCACGGTGCCCGCTGTGGCCAAGCGAGGTATTGCTCACCTACATTCCCCTCCTTGGCTATTTCTCTGTTCTCGGGGGGCTGAATTCCAGGCTCTCCTGCCCTCTGCATCCTTCACGGTGGTGCCTGCAGCAAGGGCATGGAGCCTGAGGCGCAAGAGGCAATGAGAAATGCGGGCAATGTAAGAAAGAACGAGCAAGTGAACTCAAGGGAAGGAAAAGGAGAGCAAAAGGGAAAAGCAACAGGAGCTCAGAGAGGAAACTGGAAGGTGGTTTCAAGCATAAACGGTATAAAATCATTCCCAGGTTAAGACATTTGACCCGACCTCATTTCTGATGGAAAGGCTTCGGAATTTTCAAGCAAACACTTGACACATTTAAGCAAATATCTCAGTGACGCGGATGCGTCAGGGACAGACGGGAGCGAAGACAGAGCGGAGGCAAGAATGTCGGCCTTGAGGACATACAAACCCCAGAATTCAGGCCATGACTGTGAACATGGAAGAGAAGGTGCGTGAGATCCCACTGACCTGAAGAGTCACCGGAGATGAGGGCAGAGGGGACACGCTGAGGACAACGGGAGAGTTTCAAGATGGAAAATGAGAACAAGGACGAGCCCCCGGGGTGGTCTGGAGGAAGGTGATCGCCATCAGGAGCCGCTGCGTCGTCTGCGGCCCGGGACACATGTCCGACGGCAACCCGGCCCAGAGCCACGGCCCCTCACACGCGCAGGCTCAACACCAGGGAAGGCAAAGCAAACCACAGCGAGACACCAGCTCACCCCGGCGGGACTGGCCGTAGCAAAAGCACCGAAACTCCGATGTCAGTGAACAAGTGACAGGAAAATCCGCCCACGGCGGTGGGGATGGAATCAGGTGCGGCCCCTGTGGAAACAGTGTGGTGGCCCCTCAAAAAGACAAACAGGAAATACCAGCAATATGCTCGCAGGCATCTCACTAAGAACATAACACGGCGACAGAAGACTCACCCCCCCACCCCGCCGTGGTCGCAACAGTCCAGGCACGTGACCAACTGAGACAGCCGATGGCTGCCACCTGGACAAGGACCCTGCGACACACACACACCCGGGACTATTACTCAGCCATTAAAAATGATGAAACCATGTCTTTTGGGACAAAATGGATGGACCTCGAGGCTAAAATGCTGAGTGAAATAAGTCACAAGACAGCAGGGGACTCACTCATTTATGGGATATAAATAACCAAAGAAAACAAACTAGCAAAGCTCAGCAAAAATAACTCAGACGCTGGGAAAATTCACTGGTTACTGGAGGGGAGCGGAGGGAGGGGTTGGGAGAACGGGAGGATATTGAGGCTGGAGTTTGGGGGGCGGGTGAGGGAGGCTTGTGCCCTGGTGAGGGGGAAATTGTCCTTCCCAAGTCACGCAGTCATGTGAACAACTGACAACTTTCCGAGCCACTCTTGAAACCCCGCGGGGAGCTGGTTTAGTCCAAGAACTTCGCCGCACAGAAAGGAGACCCAGATGTCAGGGCAAGTCAGCCGTGGGGGGAGAAAAGGGGCCACATTGATCTTGCTGCTGAGGAGAGGACGCGGGGCCGTGCGGGGGACAGACAGACACGGAGAGACACGGGAGGAAATCAGCCCCCTGCTTTCCCTGCACTTTCCTTTCCACTAAAAGAAACTGGAAGAGAATGGCCAGTAGGGGGCAGGATAAAGAGGGGGACACTTCAGCTTTTGGTCCCAGATAGAGCAACAGGGAGGGGGTGAAGCACGGGGGCAGGGGGCGTGCACAGCCCACGGCTCTAGGATTTGTTCGGTTTCCCCTACCGGCCTTCTAAAGAGAATAACTATAAGAAAGTGAACATCAAAATCAACAAAAAACTAAGAACCAGAGACATTTTGGGGGGGTGGGGGGCCGGAAGGGAGGGATTGGGGTCAGAATGGGGGGTTGCAATTGTAGGGGGAATATAAAAATAAAACTTGTTATTTAAAAAAATAAATAAATAAATAAATAAATAAAATTAAAAAAATAAAGAGCCTCCCCAGCAACACTCGATACCGTGTGGTGACCCCAGATCGAATCTGCACAACCGGCACGTTCTCTGCTTTTTTAATTTTCCTGGGCATTTCTCCAGAAGGTCTGCCAGCTTCAGCTTTGCAAGTTCTATGGCTCCTCTCTCAGAGGGTGCACGAGGGCCTTGGGAGGAAGGTCTTGCACTTTACCTGGGAGGACGCCTGCACCCCCTCCCAGCCCCGCCTGGGGATCAGAGCCCAGGCCCATCCCCCTGGAGTTTGCTTCAATCCTACCCACCCCCTCTTTAGTCCGACCCTAAGTGACCTCCTCTTTCCACTAATATCGTCCATGTTACCAAATCTCTCCCCTTTGCCTCTACGCATAGGCAAAGTTGAAAAAGCCTTTAAAAATCCATTTGCATTACACTCATTGTTTGACAGCTGTGAGCACCCCGATGGAACCCAGTCAAGTCCCAAGGACAGCTCATCCAGAAAGGTCACAGGCCCAGTTTTAAATATGCTTAATTCCTCACGGAACACACACCCCCAAGTTTGTACGAATTATTCAGAGATAAGACAAGGAGGTAAAATTCTCAAATGCAGTTTTGAGGTTCTTACCGTCTCGACAATCTGGATACTAAGCTTAACAGGAAATTATGAGAAAGAGAATTATGAGCCAATCCCCCTGGAGAACTGGGCGAAAAACATTCCTGAGGACACACATGGAGGGAGCAACAGTCTCTCCCTTCCCCTTCCCCCCTCTCTCTCTCTGCCTCTCTCCCACATACACACACAGACACACACACACACACACACCACCCTCCCCTCTAGCAAAATAATCCACCATCACAGTCCTGGTGTCAACAGCAGCATGAAGAAATATTTGACGCTGCTTTCAGGGGAATCAGAAAATGACCAGTGATGACACCACGGGCCAGGAGAGCACAGGCCCCAGTAGAGCAAGAGAGGAGAGAGTCTTGGCGTGGACAAGGCGGGAAGAACAAGCTCGTTAGACTCCACAGAAAGGCCAGGGAGAGCGTGCTGAGTGAGACGCAGTGGTCAGTCACACCGACCAGCACCCGCACCCGGGCATGCCCACGCCCCCCCCCCCCAGCGCAGGTCCTCCCTCCTACCCCTCTCTCCTGCTGGTGCTGAAAGAGCCACATGATGAATGGCGAATGGCGCGTCAGCACGTGGCCAACAGGACTCTGCTTGGAAGGGAGGGAGGAACATGAAGCCTATGAATAGGGATGGGACAGGCCGTGGATAATGTTTAACACGGGCCTGTAGCTGTCCCAGCTAATCCGTGCTCTGCACAAACAGTATTGTGGAAACACGGCCTCGGGCCATGAATTTGTATTGCAAAATAGGCTGCAGTGGTTTCTATCCGCCTCCTCTTACTGCCACAAACACGCCCACATGATCGTTTTGTAAAAGGCCTATCAAAGGTGGATGATTCCATTATAAAAACAAGCCAGCTTCAGGGAAGAATTGCTTTTATGAGCATCTGTCAGAATTAATACAACACGTCTAAATAATTGACCAAATATTCAGC